ATTTGATTGGCGGGCGGCGGAGGCTATCGAATGTGGTCAGAGGTAACTTGACACGATGAAGATAGGCTATAGTGAAGAGGTTAGTGGCAAGTTATCTCTGAAGCTCAGGGTGGTAACAAAGGACTCGAGGCCCTGATTTGAATCAAGGGGGGCTATAAAAAAAACTACCCTGAAAAATGGGCAACATTTACTAGAAATTAAAGGAACATGTGACGTTTCCTGTTCTTCATTTCCTGAGTTTAAAGTACATAACACGAAAAAATAATGAAACCAATTTAATACCCTAGTCTCACTGGAGGCAGAATGAGCTACACACACTGGACAATAGAAGTGTCACCCCTACTGAACCAATTCTTTTGGGGAGATAAATGACTGTGGAATGATATGCTCTTGGTATCATTTTATTAACATCATATTTCACAAAACACACACACACACACACACACACACACACACACAAAGAGAGTATAATATACATTCTACCAAGATATGCAGTTTCAAGTCCAAAATTAGGACTTAGTGGCATAGACACGTGACCTAATAATAGCTGCCAGTTTGCGAGGCAAGGATTCATATAATTGTCTGATGCGTTCACGGCTTATGCTGGCCCAAGCATGAAACACTGAATCTAACAGAGTTTGTCTGCTGGTTGGACGGGCATTTGTCAAAAGTTTTGACATATCATTCCACACATTTTCTATTATGTTTGTATCCGGACTCTGGACAGGCCACATCACCCTGCGAATGTCCTGTTGGTCAAACCAATCATCAACTGCTCTGGGTATGTGACAAAGAGCACTGTCATCCTGGTAAACAAATTGATAATTCCTGTCACCAAGGATGTTAGTAATAGATATCGATATATTTCTGGTGATTCATGTTTCCATCAACCACTACCAATTCACCCACACCATGGATGCTGATGCAGTCCCTCACCATGATGGATATGCTGCTCCGATAACAATTATTGAATGGCCATATGGCATTTGAATAGTATTCTAACTGCACTATGACTGCATTCTAAATATTCTCACGGAATTCCGACTGTAACTGCCCGCGATATTTTTATTTATTTATTTTTATTTTTATTTGAGTTTGTTCTTTGTTTACTTATTATTCATGCGAAGTACATTTTCCGTTCTTTCTCTTTTGTCCTTCCTTGTTTTCTCTCTCTTTCTCTCTCTCTACAAATTATAACGTTACAGGCCACCGCACTTACGTAACCGCACCGTCACATGCCTGTACCACACCCTGCACTGAACAGTTTTCATTCCACAGCATATATAAGGCTTCCTCTGTATTTCTTTTTGCTCACTTCACTTTCGTACACAGAACGACACAGGGAATCTAACGACACTATCTAACGACACCATTTTAGCTCACCCAGTCGGAGAAAAGGGTAACTATTTCAACGATAACGTAAACTTCTCTGGCTTTGGGTATTCCAACGTTTCTATCTATCCTTTTGATGATTCATGTTGATTCACCGTATAGACCTTGATAAAAATAAAAGTATATATATTGATGCACCTTGAAAGAGCTACATTATAGTTGTTAAATACAATTCGAGCTTTCGGCCCCTGGGCCTTCTTCGGGGATTATTTAACAACTATAATGTAGATCTTTCAAGGTGCATCAATATATATACTTTTATCTATCCTTTCATAACGATATTAGCACACTTGGTCGGGGATAAGGCAAATTATTTCAACGCTAACGTAAACTTCTCCGGCTTTGGGTCTTTGCAACCTTTTCGTCTATCCTTTTTCTTACACTTTCGTATGTACTTCGTGTAAATTTGTTATCAATTTTAAGTTATTTTGTATTTTACTTTGTTTTCAGCATTTCTTTATTTTTCCCACACCCTTTATGTGATATGTTGGTATACAGGTCAGCAGGTTTTGTTTCTAGGTTGTAGGTTTGACCCGCCAATGGATGTCACTGGGGAGGTATGCTTACTCATTGGTATACTGTGGTATATGTATATGTCATGCTGTTTATTACCAGATTTACAAAATGTTTGTTATTGCTATTACACCACTACATGCGACCGGATGACCTTGTGGTTAAAGTGTCCGCCTCCGGAGCGGGAAGACGTGGGTTCGAACTCTTCCGGGGACATATTAGTCCTTAATAAACGGAACCTGCTGTCTCGCCGCTTGTTACTGTTGTTCTTGTGTCTTTTTTTTTCATTATGTGCCAAGGAGTCAAATATTCCTTTTAAAATATGGGGCCATGGTGACTCTTTTATAGAGATAAATCAAGGGATGGAGTCAATTGTGGAGTCAGTTGTGAATGGAATCAATTGTGACCCTCCTGTGGGATCTGGGATGGCGTTACTCCATCGCGCGGAGTCAACTTGACTCTAATTGGGAGTTATTTTAGGCACCACTGCTGGACACCAAGTTTGAAGTCACTTGGACTCCGATTTTATTCACGGTGGACAAGAATTTAGTTCAATTTGAAATTTCTTCCCGAATGTAGTACGATTTTTAAATTTAGTCATTCCGGCTGGTTCTGCTTGATTCCTGCTGATTCCGGGGCTTAAGCGATGACAAATTTTACGGTTGCGTTTTCCTGCAATTATGAGATCATAAATTAGGCCCTATTGGTTTGTTTTTTTTTATATGTCGTTTGTCTCAATATCTGACGAGGTGGAAATCAGTTTGCCTTCCACCTGGTCAACCACTCACTTTTTGGATCCTTAAAACAGTGAACTTGCGTATGATCTCTTTCCTTGAAAAGATGAATGTCTTCCGACCCGTGAAATCCAGATCCAATAGACACGTGATCTCTCAAGTTTACGATGCTGTTCCTCCATGACACTCTGTGTTGACATCGGCGGCATTTTAGGTACAACTCTGGGTTTAAGAGCATTGAATTTGAGAGCATAAAATAAATGAATAGAATTCACATATTTACATGAGGTTGATGAAAGACCTCTTTACGCTACACTACAGTACATTTCTGGCACTTAATCTCTTAAAGGGTGAAGTGAGTCAATTAGAAAGTAAAATGTACCAGATAAAAACAAGCTTATTGTTACGTTTACGTAGTGATAGCTTTCAAACTAGTGAAAAATCCAATATACTTGGCACTTAATCACTAAAAGAATGAGGTGAGTCAATAAAAAGGTAAGATATGTCAGATAAAAACCAGCTTAATGTGACAGCTTTCAAACTAGTGGATTATCCGTGGGGTGTTATTGAAGATAATACTTCCCTTGTCAACAACGAGCTGCAAAGTGAAAGTGGATAAAGACGTCTTTTTTAAGGTAGCTCCTAAACATAAAATATTTCTTAACAGTATAGTACCTTCTTGGTGCTTTCCGTCCAGCTTTTCAAGCACGAGACCGTAAAACGTTGGGAGGTTGGATGACTCGTCTTTTGGCATGTAGACACTGTGAAAATGATTAAAAAATACATAAAACGTGAAGATTCTCCATCTCTTCGTGGGAACGTTTCTCATATTAAAGTTACAATTGTCTTCATTTACAAGAGATCTTTTTGTAAAATACTAGAAAAAGAGCGTTCATGTCTACTTCTCATCAGGTAAATTTTAATTGCAGGAAGTATCATCTGTTCCATATACAGGGTTACTACTTAATATGGAATATTATTTTTTGGCAAGTAAATTTTCTACAAAATATTTATTTTCTCTTTAAATCCAAAACCTAGGTGTCACTCCATGTGTAGCCAGGTGTGTTACCTAATTACCACACAACTCTCGAAACAATTGATGCATGCAGTTGCATGTTCTGTGGTCAGAAATGTGACCGGTGGTCTTTTTGGCAATTTCTGCCCTTGTATAAAAACGCATGGGTTTGGCCAGTCTTTGGAGTGTATTTAGAGAAGCAACAAAGGGATCGCTCTGAAACTTGACAGGTACTTTAGAGAAGATATGGTTCGACAGCTAAGCAACGCAGCTTACTAGGGGATCCCTGCTCTCAGAGAAAATGGCCAGAAACGGATAGCAATTGCTAGGCAATGCAACATATATCAGGAACCGTTAGTAAAGTCCTCCAAAGAAATGCTACAACAGGGCACCTACGCCAATACCTCGACCAGGGTGTCTGCGTATCACACCAAGAAGACAGGATCGCCTTCTCCTTAGAGTGCGCCATGCTGGTCGTACAAAGACAACCAGTGTCCTCAGAAAAGAGTCGCAGAATGTCATTCAAACGCCCGTTTCAAGGTCCCTCGTGAACAAGAGATAACTGCAAGCCGGTTATTTTGCACGAAGACCAGTAGGGAAACCACTGTTAACAGCAGGTCATGTACAGCGACGTCTGAAATGGGCTGGGGACCACGTGCGTTTGCAGCCGAAACACTGGAATCACGTCGTTTTCGGTGATGAGGCCAGACATAAGGGTCAAAGGGTCATTGCCGCCAGACTGGTTGCACACTTAGAGAAAAACAATCTTATAGAGCCAATGCAATCTGCATACAAGGCCAGACACAGTACTGAGTCAGCTCTACTTAGGATTAAAAGTGATCTTTTATGTGGAGTGGATAAACATTCAGTGGTTCTTTTAGTCCTGTTGGACCTATCGGCAGCTTTTGACACTGTTAATCATGGACTACTAGATTTTATTGGTATTAAGGAATCTGCTTTTAGTCTTTTACGTTCTTATTTTACAGGCCGGTCACAGCAGGTTATGATAAAAGGCATATTATCAAATGTTTCAGAAATAGCTTTCGGTGTGCCACAACGCAGTGTTCTAGGACCTCTTGTTTTTTGCATGTATACCTTACCAATTGGGGCCATACTAAGACATCATAAGATTGGCTATCATATTTATGCTGATGACACACAGATTTTTACTTGTTGCAATCTAGAAAATCCAAAAGAATCTATTGATATATTGTCTAAATGTATTGACGATCTTCGCAGGTGGCTGATTAGTAATAAGTTGAAAATTAACGATGGAAAGTCTGAACTTTTGGTAATAAGTCAGCCACATAATCGTATGATAGCACAACAAATTCAGCTCAAAATTGGATCAAGCATTATTAAGCGAAAAACCTATGCAAAAAATCTTGGTGTATTTTTAGATGGATCGCTTTGTATGAACAAACATATTGCCAGTGTATGCAGGACAGCGGTTTTTAACATTAGGAACATAAGTGCAATTCGCAATCAGTTGTCTGACTCTGCTGCAGCCACAGTCATAAATTGTTTAGTTACATCTCGATTACATTACTGCAACTGCATTTTATACGGTTGTCCAAAGAAATAAATTGCCAGACTGCAGCGCATTCAAAATATTTCGGCCAGATTATTAACTCGGACATCCACAAGCATACACATCTCCCCAGTTTTAAAAAGTTTACACTGGCTACCTCTACAAGCCAGAATTTTATTCAGATTTTTAGTTTTTACTCACGATGCTTTTTATGGATTGGCACCGATCTCCATCAATTAATTAGTTAGTCACTATGTTCCTATGCGAAATCTGTGGTCTGTAGACCAATTGCTACTCAACCCAGTAAAAATGCGATTAAAAACCTACGGTGATATATCTTTTAAAGCTGCAGGTCCAAAGGAATGGAATCTATTACCGCTGGAAATCCGAGCAATTAAGTCTACCAAACATTTTAAAAAAGAACTCAAAACATACCTTTTTAGGAAATATTTTGATTAACTCTTAATTGGTTTTATAAATCTTGTATTAATTGCATTTAATTGTATGGAATAATGGCTGTTTTACCTAGATTTTATTTATGATATTTTATGTAGTATTATTTATGATATTTTATGTAAAGTCTACTGAACATTTTAAATGGATTTTAGACTTAAAATAAATTTATTATTATTATTATNCTTGTATTAATTGCATTTAATTGTATGGCTGTTTTACCTAGATTTTATTTATGATATTTTATGTAGTATTATTTATGATATTTTATGTAAAGTCTACTGAACATTTTAAATGGATTTTAGACTTAAAATAAATTTATTATTATTATTATATGGAGTTTTTAGTGCGCAGGGCCGAATCCCTGTCCGCCGACGTGTACGAGAGGCATAAAACGATGATTATGTACTGCCTAGGGTGCAAGCAAGGGGTGGTAACGTCTCTGTTTGGGGAGCATTTCTTGCCGGTGCCCAGAACCAGTTAATTTTTCTAGGAGGCAACCTCAACCAGAATTCCTATAGAGACATTCTACAACAAACAATGCTACGATTTGTAAGAGTCACCTTCAGGAACAACTTTGGGTACCAAGACGACTGCGCAACTCCACATCCAGCTCGCAGAATCACTGTTTTTCTCCGAAACCAATGGGTTCAGCAACTGTCCTGGCCTGCAGACTCCCCAGATATGAACCCAAATGAAAATCTGTGGGCGGAAGAAACTCACAGAATTAATAGCTATGGTCATCGGCCGGTAAATAGTGATGAACTGCGATAGGCAAATATCACTGCGTGGAATGATGTCCCATCCAAACTCTAAAAAACTTGTCACAGGGTATGCCATGTGGGATGTGGGCGCTGCAATCGGCTGCTGGAGGTCATACCCCCTACTGATGACTTTTCATGATTTACTGTAGTGAGTTCTTTGAATGTGTAACATATCACAGTCCAGAGGCATTTTTTAAATATCTTAGCTGAAAATTAATACTGACATCAAACTGTTGATATGGTTTTCTGGGGGTGTTCTTTTCTTTTGAATAACATCTTATGTCAGGTTTGACATTATTGACCAAAATATCTCACAATGGAAGACTGGATATTATTATCACTCAATGACATACTTTTTTGATGAATCAAGCCAAAAAAAAATTTTAATCAGCACTCAACAATAACAGTGATAAAAAATATTCCATATTAAGTAGTAACCCTGTACAGTAGGCTAACAGAATATCTTATTTGAGATGTGCGATGAACAGTTTTCCATTATTTAGATATTTACCTCCCAACTTGCTTTTTGCAGAATTTGCAGTAACATTTTGACCTGACGTAATGCTGAAACCACATCAGTTTGGTCCGCGTCTGTAAAAGTCGTTATCGTTTATACTATTATAATCATGGTAATTTAGAATAGCCGCACAGACAACAATAACATCTTCATGATAAAATATAATTCTAAAGAATGGCAAATAAAATATAGCTAAGCGATTTTAGTTTCTTTTTATAGACAAATCAGTTGCTTTAATAATATAAACCAAGATAACATACAACATTGGTCAAAAAGGTTCCCCACCACCAGTTTCATGTGCTTTTCGGCTGTTTACTAAAATAGACCAACATAAGATATGAGGTGTTAAATGGCTGATCCAGGTTCTGATTGATAATGAGTCATCCTGACTCTGAGCCCTCTTTATAAGCGGTATTTTCAAATATTTCAGGGGAGGGGGAGTGGATTGGGTGGCCCTTTTTCTTGATAACCGATCTAATATTTAGTGTTACCTTTCTTTCCTGGTATACACGTACATCGCAGTTTTTCTTGACAAACACTATATCTCGCTTGCACTCTAAAAAGAAAAGTGGATCAATAAAAAGTATAATGTACCAGATAAAAGCAAGGCTACGCCTACATAGTGATAGTTTAAAAAACAGTGTCAGAGTGGTGTTACTGACGTTAATATGTGACATATTTACACCAAAGTGCCAAATATGTTTTAAATGATGACGTATAAACACGTACATATTTATGGATTGCCTAAAGTATCTTTTTTAATTTTCCCTTTCGATTAGCTCTCTATCAGTTTTACTGGCCTTGAATATGTTTACATAATTTCCCACTTAATCGCCCCCACTACAAACACCATCCCACGCAAGCTGAGATATAAAAAATGAGATAAGAGCGCACGTACAAGATTTGAAAATACTACTTACTGTCGTCTGGGTCGTAAAAAGTTTTGACGGGCAAACAATACACGTGAACGTCTGTCAAACATATTTCAACATCCCTCCCCTCTTCCTGCTCGGGCTCTAGAGTCACTCCCTCAGCCTTGAGGTCAGCGACAGAAATGACATCAAGGGTTTTGGCCAGGGTCGACCCGCACTTGTGGCAATTTAGGTGGACCTCTGAGAAATAGAAACCCGTTAATATGGTATTTTAACGAATCGATAAATTGCGTTGGATATAAAGTTTGAAGCAGAGAGAGAGAGAGCGAGAGAGAGAGAGAGCAAACCACCACAGATCAGCGACTGATCCAGACCGCCTCTCCCCTCGAACAATACCTTTTCCTTCCGGGTGGAAGCTGGAACGAGAAGGCGAGCTAATTGATGTAGTGCGTCGAACTACTTCGCTTTCTTGATTTTGTCCACTGTCGTCACAAGATACGTCTAACGGTCTTGCTTTGTCTGTGGCCATGTTGCTGGCTCTCCGTGTCGTCAAGACTGAGTCTAAAAATCAGATCACATGCAGTGACTTCCAATATCAACAGAGCTATTTTTGTTTTGGTTACTCGAAAGCATCGCGTATTGTGATATCACTACTGACATAGAGACTACATGGTATTATATGGGGCGCGTATTGGAGAGTTATGGAATCGAGACTCTAGCGCTCGGCCGCAATGCGCAATGCTTTCGGGCTCCGTATCTCGAAAGGTTCGCTATGTTGCTCACGTGCGTTAGTGTCTCGATTCCATAACCGATTCTATTTCGAGATACAGGACCATGGAATCGAGACACTTGCGCACGTGCGCAACATAGCGAACCTTTCGAGATACGGAGCCCAGGTGTAACTAGGTCGCCAGTTTCCGTGAGGGCGCGCTGAATAATGCGGTTCAAGCACGTTCGGCTGTCACCATGATTGGATAGTAAACGATTGTCGTAATATCACTAAATGATTTTAAAAACGGGTGCATAAACTTGAAAACCACCTAGAACAACTTAAGACTGCCACATTAATCCAATACAATGCAAAAATAAACTATAACAAGTGGTTAAAGCCTTCAAGCCGAATGTCGTAAAGTCCCCATATACCTCCATAGAGACAATAAAATAGACTAAGCTTGTGAAACAAGATTCCACAAATTTAAACATAATAATCTAAATAAAATAATGCCGGGCATCGGAGCGCTTACCGCAAATGCTGCAGGCTACATCATCCCGTCGATCGTTTGTAAATTCCGTGCATGGCATACGCACAATCAAACCGTAAATCCAAATTCCCGCTTTGACGCTCGAGTCGGTCCTTTCCACAATCCTATTCAGGAGGTGACGTAACCGCAGAGGTCGCATTACAAATACCTGTCTAATGACATGGCTTCTTTTTCGTAAGCCCGGTGTAATGGGAGGTTGGAGAGGAACAACTCGAGCGTCAAAGAGGGAATTTGGAATCGCACGAATATTGTCCAGAAATTCACTACGAATTTTTGAAATCGAGAGTTCGTGGCCAAAATTTTGAACAGCTCAAAATTTTTGCCACGAATTCCCGATTGATCAAGAATTGCAAGAACTGACTACGATTATATACGAATCTGTTAAGAACTTCACGAACTGATTACGATTCAACCTCGAATCCTGAAATTTGTCAATTCATGGCAATTCGTGGAATTCGTGGTCTGTGTGAAATAGGGGCATAAGAGGGTAATTAAATTCCGTGCGTGATCGGCTGACAGCAATTTAGCGTGAACCCCCAGGGAGTTAGGTCGATCTAGTTGGATCGATCTAAATCTCTGGGAATGCAGTCTAAGAGGCCTCAGATTTAGAGAGCATGCAGACGATCTTACTTACGCACAATACCAATATTCTTCCTTTAATTCAGCAACCTCAATAAAGGGTACCGGAGAAGATCAGCATTGGTCAGAATTGTGCCGGAAGTGACGAGTAGTGGTGTAAGACGTAAAGCTGAGTGGTCATTTTTAGCTGGTGATGAATGGGAATGAAGACGTGGGCTTGGAGAAAAAACAGTTATTCTAACAACACGGTAAGATTACATTTTATCTTTATGCATTTGGGGCAGAGAATACTTGTAGAAGCAATAGGCACATGATATGAAAACGTGTCACGAAACTTGAAGGTGCAAAATCATGTTAATTTGCAGACAACTTGTTTTGAAATACATGCTGCCTAAAACATCAAGACCCTAAAACATCATTATAATTGTAGCACATACCATAAAACACCCAAAATACTTAGATATGGACATATTAGATTATATAAATGTCAAAATTCTAAATGACAACGATTTATAGCCTCCCGGGAATTCCTTTCCCTTTACGCTCTTTGTCGCGCTGGCGGTCGATGCAGCATGTATTTTAAAACAAGTTGTCTGCAAATTAACCACGATTTTGCACCTTCAGGTTCCGTGGCACGTTTTCATATCATGTGCCTATTATTTCTACAAGTATTCTCTGCCCAAAATGCGTAAAGAAGAAATGTCATCTTGCCATGTTGTTTGAAAAACTGCTTTTTTCTCCGAGTCCATGTCTTCTCTCCCGTTCACCTCCAGTTAAAAGTGACCACTCAGCTTTACGTCTTACACCACTACACGTCACTTCCGGCACAATTCTGACCAATGCTGATCTTCTCCGGTACCCTTTATAAAGGAAGGCATACTGGGATGAGCTATGATATAGAGCGCCACTATTTCAACAGTCAGTAATAAATCATTGTCAATAAACAATCTAGATACACAACAGCAAACTAATGTCCTTTACAGAGACTACAGGTTGTTTTCATTAAATATCCACACATTTGTCTCTTGCCGGGGACTTCAAAATTCACAAGCATTATCGGTTACCTCACGTAGCCTTTGTTTTTACAGTAGTTTGTAATTCTCCATAATACGTTGTTTACAGTCTATAGAGATAAAGTCGTATTGTGTGTTTACCCTCTACCAGGGTCGCAGTTATTATTGTGGACATTTCTTGCTGATCGATCAGAGGTAGAGGGTAATTCAGTGCTGGCATGGAGGCTGCATTGGGAGCATTGGGTGCATACAATATTAAGTTATCAATGCAATGTGCCTATCGTGTATTCAGTCGTTACATCGTTTTAAACAGATACATGCATTTTATATCAAAATTTGAGTTAAATGCAATTTGACATTTGGAGATTTATTTGATAATTTCAGGATATTAGAAACATCATTAGTTTCCACTACTGCCAATAGGCTTATGCGGCGAGGCGAATTCAGGTGCAACAAAAACCTCCGCTAACAAAATGTACAACCGAATGTAAAATCTACAAGGAATTCGGATTGTTTAAATCGGCACCTTAAATTTGTCACTGAGTCGGACAACTCCAAAAGTTGAAGGGTTGTGGATGGTGGTGGGTGGGGTGCCGCCTGATATCAGGGGCTTCTAAAATAGTATACAAATTAACAGACTACTAATGCACCCTGTGGTTTGTTTCGTCTGCACAGTGATACTGTCTTCCTATCTGGTATACCTATTTGTCTTGGAGGCGGGACCGTATGTCTATCTTAACTTGTCTTTTTAAGGTCATGAAGACTGCCTCCATTTAAATGGAAGGAAGTGAAAAAAATGGGTAGGGGTCCCCTCTTCCTTTCTCCAGCTCGCAGACTCCAACTAACAAGGAGAAGGAATTTCTGCATAATTTGGAGAAGTAGATAGGAGTGCGATTTGCCAGGCATACTGGTAAGCTCCTGCAGGAGCCATAGGTCGCATTCAGAACAGCGGACAAACAGATCAGAGGATCATACACAGCGACTCACTAAAAACTTGTCACTTAATTCCTGATTAGACACTGAATAGATTCCCGTCGGTGGTTGCGCAACAAGCATTCAAGTGGGTAGTTGCCCCAATCCATATGCTGAAACCAACATTCTGTTGCCAATGGCTTCACCGTTACTCTGGCACAGAGAGCTTTCGGGGAGCTTCATCTTGCTCTTGAAAGGATGCCCCGGAGATGCAGTTAACATTTAACTTTTATAACCAGTGCAAAAAATTTTCTTCTTTACATATGCTTGAAATTCACCCCACTATCGAACGTTGCAATGAAAATGTTATTGAGATAAAAAATTCGTAGCCCAGAAATTCTTGTACTTTACCTGGAGCATAAGAGCCTTAAATTTGTTTTCCCAAAATAACAAGAGAGAAAGAGGGGGGAGAAGTTGGGGGTGAAGTGGTCTTACAATTGAAGTTTTTGCAAATCTCTCGCCATCATTCATAAGCCGTGCCAAAAATAATTTTGTTCGGAAAACTATTGTAGAATTTCAAAGCCCCAGAACCATTTCAAAGTAACAAGGCAGCGTTGGGATGAAGAGTGAAAAAAACCTTATACTATACAGGTGCCATGTACTTGCTCTCGCACTTTATGATATCTGGTTTAATTAGGCTTATTCAGAGTTCAAAAGCCGAATTGCCTCTGGGGACTGGGAACTTTTTTTTCTGCATTATATTTCAAAACTCCATTTCTTTTAATTTTTTACTTTTACATCCCAATGAGAAAGCTCCATTTTTATCTCCGAAATCAAATCTGCACATAAATGGACAAACAAAACGAGATATTATAAAGTTGCTATCGCACGTGGATATGTTTATTACTATGTTTTTCAAAATCAACAGATTGAGACATTGCTGAGGCTGGTCAACATAATATATAAAAATAATTTAGTGTTAAAATGTATGATGCAGTGATTATGAATATAATTAAATAAAGGTATTTTCAAGAAGTCAACATGCACTGAAAATCGGATACACTGGAATTACGTATGGTCTGCTACACTGAGATAAAGAAGTAGTACATATATGAAAATATGCAAAATAACCGAATGACCAGAAATCAGCAAAATGAATTGAATAATTGAATAACTTTGAAATAGTATATTATTGTAAACTTATAGCACCTTTAAGTTGAATTTGTGTCACTGAAATCCACGTTTACATGCAATACATTTATGTGTCGCCTATGTATTTGTCAAACAATTCCTATTCGTATGATTGTTTGAAATTTTGGATTATTGTCTTTAAAACGTGTCAAATTATATAATATCCTAAAATGTATAATTGCTAGCATGAAGCGTAATATATGGAACGACTATATTTGTTCTGTATCTTTTCAAAAATTATACCTTATATTTGTATTGGTATATTATCTTACTTCATATTTGAATAAAGCAGCAAATTAAGATTTTGATTATCTAGCTATTAATATCAAGCTTGACGACTGATGGTATCATAACTTAATCCCTGTTGGCTGGCAAGTGAGAAAAATCCGGCAGATCACGAGTCTGAAAACGGAACGGTTCGGTAAGTGTTGAATGAACACGTGGTACTTGCTTCAAGCGCCCTGCGTCGCTTTTCATCAAGGTGTTCACGTGCTGAAAAAGCCTATAAATGCTAAGCTCTTTCGTCATTTCGCTGACCAGATGTTTGGTGAAATTGCTCAAGGATGTTCGGTCGCCGGCAGAAGAGAGGGTATCGTCCGCGCATGAATACATCTTAACAAACCCATACCCCTGGTGGGACTCATTTAAGCGACGGAAATCTCTCCCATTCTCATCGCTGCTGGGCTCGACGCTCGTAGTTGCGGCGCGATTTTCGTCAGTACTCTGAGTACTGTTTTCCTCTTCGTCGTCACGTTCTTCCACTTGTGTACAACTTGCTTCTTCAAAGACACCATCATCATCATCATCCAGATAACTGCGTGAAAGATCGTCCACGGCCTTCCTACACTCTTCTGAAACTTGGTCATGGAACTGACCTGTTCCTCTGCAGGCATCGATGATAGAAATCTTCACCCTTGCCCCAGTCTTCATCAACAGCGTTTCAATTTGGCGAATATTTATGTATGAACTCGTCGTGGTTGAACTCGTCGTGGTTGCTTCCTCCCAGTGCCGGCGGTCATCGCTGTCGGGAACTATGAAGTGAAACCCTTTCTCGGCTGATCCATGCCCAGAGAAGTAGAACAGCACAACTTGGTCTTTCTCTGTCGGAATATTCTCTAAAGCTGAAATGATCTGATCTTTGGTTGCGTTCTTCAATGTGCGCACCTCGAAGGGAAGGCGAAGACTTTTTAGTTCTCTTTCCATGGCGTCGGCGTCGTTGGCACAGCACATGAGTTTGTTCCGCGTATCGGGGTCGCTGACGTAAGTGTTTCCCACAATAATGGCCTTCCTGTCACTGACGTTACTATAAGGAAGAGAGCGGAGACCTGGAAACAATAAATATGGTGCTGTCACTTTCGCTCTCACAAATCTGTATATTTCAGTTATGACTTGTATATTATCATTGCTTCACATCCGTATTTATATTTGTAATGGTTTTTATATTTTACCTGTAGGAATGGTAAACTGTCCACCAATTTTCTCCCAAAACACAACGGCAAGTGTGTCGCCGCCCTTCTTGGTCGCCTTATATTCCCTGTGAAAAAAAAGATTTTGTTTTGCTTAGTTTTCACTATAAAATAGCCAACTAGTAATAAAATAGCAAACTAGTATTAGAAATAAGTGATAACCGTCTTGGTTGTCGATACTGAAAAAATGTCACAATTCCTTCAATTTCACTTCATTTTGAAGGATACATCAAAAAGTGGCTGAAATACACGGAATAAAGACCGAATCGCATTTAACATGTTAAAGACAAATGGTACATACCGCCCTATGATTTCTTCACAGGTTGAGCAGCATACTGGACAAAACTCTTTATAATCCTTAAACCAGCCATCCCCTGCCTATTGAGAAAATCCATTTTTATCAGTAAAAACATAAGCGCAAATATCGATATTAATATACACCATACTCGGTGTCAAGGTCCCTCCATCCCCATCACACTTATAACTCTTTAATACTTCAAATAGTCTGTGACTTGGATGTTAAATAACTGGTTAAAAATGCACAGTGGTGGTAAAATGCGTATTACTTTTTGCTTATTTGCAAAATGCAGCTCTACTGCATTTTCATGATTTTGCAACCAACCACGTTTTGCACGCGGGAAAAAAGAGTAATTTTCTCTCCGTCATCTTTTCTTGGCACCTTTTGTTTGTCAAGTCTTTATGGAAACGTCATCGTTTGGTTTTGTTGTTTGAATTCATTGACTTCGATGTGGTTTCTTATAATTACCTTTACAGGGTCCCCTCTGTTTCCCATCAACTTATCACCTGTTACGGTTAGAATCTTTCTTAGGATACCTGGAAATAGACGTTTTATTTGAGGGCCCAACACGGTGTACACCATATCATGTCACACCTAACACAGCAGCCTTTTACGCTCATTCAAAACAAAGATGGGATTCCAAAATTTACTCAACGCGCAACACAATGTTCACCGTATACAATTATCTTTCCACTGGAACTGAGACTCAACTTCTCAGTATCCCCCCCACACTATAACCTTCACATTTTCACTTTTTCTAAAACGGTTTAGCATTTTAAAAATTATGTCATAGCTGTTGAGTGAAGTATTTCTGGCATTACCCATGGTCTTCTTTTCGTTTTTAACCGAAACATTTTAATGTCACATTTTAAACACTAACCGTGTTCATCCTTTAGGACTGGAACGCGGACTCCAAACACTCGACCAATAATTGTACTCTCCTTGTAGACTATCTTGGATGACACTGGATCCTTGGGAACGATATCTTCCAGTTGGAATAAATGGTTCCTACAGGACTGACACCACAACCATCCTGTTGGGGCAAAATAAATTATATATTAGTGGGCGAAGGCCTTCATCAGACTGATGTGAGTAAATGTTGACACTCACTGATCGCTAGGTGGTATAGCGCTCATTAGTGGGAAAATTTATGTCACCATGTAATAAACTCTAACGACTTAGTGAATAAAGTGAAGGATATCATTCTGGGACTACAGGAAGCCTTAGTATCGTATGATGTGAGTGCACTATTCACTAGTGTACCGACTTACACCGACATATACTGACACGATGAAGATAGGCTATAGTGAAGAGGTTAGTGTCAAGTTATCTCTGAAGCTCAGGGTGTGGGCAGTCCAATCAGTCTTATTGTGGCCAGTCTGTATATGGAGTACTTTGAGGATCCCGCAATGGGATCTATGTCCAATCCTCCACGTCTTTGGTTGAGATATGTAGACGACACGTTCACCATCTGCCACAGAATCCACATAACTGCTATCACTGACTTTATCGACAGCCAAGACCGTAACATCAAGTTCACTAGAGAGCTGGAGGAAAACAATTCCATTGGTATTTGGGGTAGTAAATACTTTAAAACACAGGTGCAACACGATCGTGACAAATGAGGAAGACAAGACACTGGAGAACAATACACTAAATGAGGCTCTCATGACGTGTGGTTACCCACCCTGGGCTTTAAAGACAAAACCTCGCCAAGACCAACCGTGAGCCAACAGATACAGACAGGGAAAAACAGTTAGTGATTCTCCCTTATTGTAAAGGAATTTCAGAGAAAGTGTGCAGGATCTACAAAAGGCACAGTGTCAACACAGCCTTTAGGCTCCAGTACACATTGAAACAATTGTAACATGATGTTAACATCTAGTGGCACTAAAGGACAAAACCCCTTGAGAACAACGTTGTGTGACAATATATACGATATCAACTGTCATGACTGTAATTCTTTTTACATTGGTGAGACAGGTAGACAGTTGAAGACCAGGGTGAGTGAACACAGAAAATCAGCGACTGTAGGCAATACCAGCTCTGCCATTTCTGAACATGTAATAGAGACCGGCCACAGTATCGACTGGAATTCAACCAAGATCCTTGAATCTGAGTCAACTGACATCCCGCGTAACATAAGGCGATCAACATCAGCCGTCACAAGCCACCCATGAATAGGGACGGGGGTGGGTCGATCTTCCTGACAATTATAAGAGGGTCCTGGCCGCTATACCACCTAGTGGTCAGTGAGTGCCAACATCAGTCAGATGAAGGCCTTCGCCCAGGTTGGCCGTAAGCTAACGGTACGAAAATATTTCGGCTTGTGGTTGATAATTTTTACTTATGAGGTAGTAAAAGTAGTTTCCACCTTACCTTTAAGGTGGGGTCCATGTAGTTCCTTGACAAGCAAGCCGTAGAAATGACGGTCAACATTTTGGAAGCGCCTGGAATTCAAAGTGTTTCCGATCTAGCATTAGAATACGATATTTATATATAAAGAAATAAAATCGTCGCAACGTTTTTATAAGGGAAAAGACCTGAGCGCATTATGTTATGTTATGAAGGCTGTAGGTGCTCTTTTCGGGGGGTGGGGGGTGGGGGGTCCACTGCGAAAAGGAGTAGAATCCGGTGTCCCATTCTTTGTCCTAATATAGAATATATAAAAGAACAAACATACCAACCAACGAGCCGCTGGCACCAGTCCCGGGGGCATCTGCATTCAGCTGCCGTAAGACCAACAAACCAATCACTCTTTACCTGTAAAAATACACATACTGATGATAATGTTGTTCAAAGAGTGGTGAGGTTACAAATATATCTAATCCATGTTGTAAATTTTATATATTTCATACATTATAAGGATGCCCAGTTGTTAATTAAATATATAAAACGGTCCTCTAAGGAATTCACCCAAACCTACTTTATTTTTCTTGCGGCAGTCAATGTCAACATCTTCTACAGTTAGGAAAACGTGGTAATCATCTACAAGGAACACAAATGATAAATGATACCACTTCGAAAAAAGTAAAAATGACGAGGTGTTCCAGTAAAGACAAGAAAAAATCAAAGACTCTCAAAGATCAATTTCATAAATTAAAAATGGGTAAAAATTCATTTCAAGGCTGCTTAGTTCATGGGGCTAACTTTGAAACCGGTTTTGTTACTCCAACTCAATCCTAGTTGGCTCTACGAGATCAAATGTGTCTAACTGTGCCAACTAGCCCCGGTCTCCCCTAAGTAACCCTCAGGAACCTTAAACTCTACCAGAAGCAGTTTAGTCCATAAGGTCTGGACCGAAAATTCTATAAGAAATTTAGATGCTATTCCCTTTTTTGCGATTGTTAAAGTTTTTCAGTGTTATATCCCAAATGTCCCAAAGTATTTATGTCAATATCCGACAAGATTGAAATCACTCCCCCCCCCCCCACCCCCCCCCCACCCCCACCCCCGTTCCATACTACTTACTTTTTTCATCCTTGAAACTGTGAACTTGCGTATGGACTTTTTCCTCGAAAAGATGAATGTCTTCCGACCCGTGAAATCCAGTTCCAAAAGACACGTGCTCTCTCAAATTTACTATGTTGCTCCTCCATGACACTCTGTGTTGACATCGGCGGCATTTTAGATACTCTTTGATAGCATTGCAAATAAATAAATAAATGAATAAAATACACAAAGATAATGTTGATAAAATATGAACCATTTTATGACATACATGTAATAGTGTCAAGATATCGAAGTGTTATGTTTTCTATAATACAACAAACGTGTATATTAAAGATAGGGGCAAAGTCCATGTGTTAAAAATTTATGTACGAATTTACAATAAAACTAGAAAATCCAAAATGCATCTAGACGGCAAAATAAAAAGTTCATATTGATTTTCTTTGAATGAAAATCAATGTTTCTTATTTTTAGTCTAAAAAACATTACCATACTGTGCATGCATATCAGAACAACACAAGTGCATTAAAACATATTTTCTCGGTTTTCTTTAGCTACCTACCTTTGACCAATAATAAACAATTCATAGCACTCTCCTGCTAAACTATATACTTTTTTCCGTATCCTCAATCCACCCTACAAGTTTTTAATTTTCAATGTTTTCATTTAAAAATTAAAAAAATTCGTTATGTGATGACTTTTAGCTATGTCGTTCAAATAAATTAGTTTGGCAATATATACATGTATCTGTATATACTAATTTTTCGGTGTTTACAGTAAACTTTCAAACTCTTTGTCAAATAAAATTCCAACAAAATTTCGGCCCTGTATTTGAATGGGCTTGAAATTTTATAAAAACGTCTAAATTGCTTTTGCTGCCCTTGTAACACGGGCTACTAATCTACATGGAAATTTTATGGTATTCTTTCGAGAATCTGCATGTGCTCCCACCCCCAATTTCCATCAATTTGAGTCAGTATTTAATAGATCGTAAACAATAGGCCTATGGTTAAAACACCGGTTCTAGGTTTTTCACAGACTTGAAATCCTCATATTTCTAGGTCATTGAATGACTAAAAAATAAAATTTGCATCTCACGATCCCAACTCAGTATAGAACTTGGTAGCCTCTTAATCTCCAATTTTGATCATATACTTTGGGCTATATATGGTATCAGGGATTTGTTTGACTGAACCATCATTTTAACAATCTGTTATAGTGAAGGAAAGACAACAGTCTGGAGCTTTCGAACGCTTATTCACCGACTTTTCATAAAATTTCACAAGAACATTTACTCTATTTTTCCATACTGACCATGCGTTTACTTGTTTTCTTTCCATTGTTTTTGCGTGATTACAAGGAATTTTCCATTCTCATGTTGCAAACCACCATACAACAATTCCTTATTAGGTAATTTCTAGAAGACTTGTTTTCAATTTAAAATATTTAAATATCATTCGAATTACTCATGCTTGGACCATATCCATCCTTAGTTTGCATGTGTTTCACACGTGTTAGAAACTTGCAAATCTATTGAGAAATTGACCAATCAAATCGAACTATGTATGACTTTGACAAGTTCCATCTTTTCCTACCACGAGAACAATTTCTGCACTCGATGAATCTTAAGTAAATTTAACTTACATTCAATAACTCCCTATCCTTTTACTTGTTTGATTCCGTTGTGATTATTATCTGCGATTCGTGAAAGTGAGTCATTTGCTTTACAACATTTCTTTATGTTTGGCAACGGTTTTATAAACGCTTTTTAACCTCACAGTTTGCCCTTTTCGTTCTTATTGCAACCTCACAAATTTGTTTATACATTTATACAGCTTGTATGTCTTATGGCTACATTTTAAGGGAATATACAGGGTCAAATACAAAGCCGAGTTTGTGGAATAGAACGAGTACCTCTTAAGGCGTCAAGGATATTACAAATACGTCTGAAACTCGATTTTTGGACTTTTATATGTTAGAAATAATCAATATTGGATCTAATACTGAATTAAGTTCTATTTTTGCAACACGTTCTATAAATGTACATTTGGACGAGTTTTTCTACCTGTCCTGACTGGTACGCGTGGCAGCCTTTAGGCTCCGCCTCCGTTGTCAAGCACCGTTACTATGGGGGCGTCCACCCACGACGGGTGGCATTGTCCTCTGCTTGCACCTCAAATAATTTGCTTTTTGTTTGCTAGCGCTTCCTTAGACACTTACAAGACAGTGCACAGACTCCTATGCATAATTAGGAGTCTGTACATGCATAATTATAATTAATCAAGTCAGTGAAACAAGAGTAGGTAGGCCTACTCAGCTGTCAATCATTTCTCAGGGAAGAGCGGCTCTCTTGGGGCGAATAAGTTTGCGTACAAAAGTAAGATTTTCTGACATCTAGATAAAAACAAACACCCCAATTTTAACATGTAATGGTGTATAGATCTTCCCGATCAATTAGATGATAACAGGTAAGGTGGAAGTGCTAAATTTGCTAAATTAGCCCCATGTACCTGCGTCAAATGGATTACGAGCGATTTCTCAGCTTTGAAGATGGTTAATATAGTCTAGACTTCAACCACCATATCTCATTATTTAACTGTCAGATTGACAGCTGTGGCTGTGTTTCAGTATAATTTCTAGTCAACAGTACCTTGAATTTTTGATTGACCATTTATTTTTGAAGTTATTAATACTGAAAGTGGAGGGTGCATATATATTTCGTGAAATTCACGTTTGATCGAAATAAAATCAAAAGTAAAAATAATAAGAGAAAATCCAGAATCAGTTTACTGGTTTTTGTGCTAACCTTTCTGCCATTTTTTGCTAGTGGTTACAAAATGTTGAATTTGACCAAAATTTTATAACGTTCTCTGGGAAGCCGTAATTTTGCAACGTGATAGCTACACTATAACAGTTTATCATTTCATAAAGAGGAAACAGCAGATGCCCCTGTTAAGGCACACAGGAGAGTTGAACAGCTACCAAATCCAAGACACTCTACACTGGGAGACTAATGAAAGTCTAATGGAATGTTTTTAGTTTTAGTTTAAATCATAAGGAGTGTTATCTCAATGCTTTAAAACTGGTTTTGAAGAATTCAATCCACATGTGCTCTACCAAGGCATCCACTCTTGGGATTCTGAAAAAAATCATACAAGGAATCTGTTTACTCTTGTAGCGTCCAATATCTTAACAAACGCAGGTTGTCTGTTTGAGCCTTTATTGATCCACTACAATAAGATACGTTCTGAAATAATAATAAATAAAGATACTTAAAGGACAACTCAGTGGGTTAGATTAATGTATAGAAGCAGGTTCTATGTAAAACTTTGATCAGATTTGTGTTTTGGGAGATTGTTTATTATTATATGAATAAGTCTGGGTCACAAAAGTCCTGTTAAGACAACTAGAATAAAGAATTAGAAAACGAAAACTATTTATCATGATTTCGGAGCACAGCCAGAAATACTTCCGGCTCAAGGTCACGACCTCGATTTTCCCATGCTTACGACCAATCACAGCAGGCTTCAGTCAGCATGAGATAGACGTCACGACTACACAGCGAAACTTATCAGACATGTAAGTGCCGCCTGTCCATCTTTTCGGTACATGTACCGATCAAAAACAGAAAACGTAAAGCCCAAAACGCTCNCAAGGTCACGACCTCGATTTTCCCAAGCTTACGACCAATCACAGCAGGCTTCAGTCAGCATGAGATAGACGTCACGACTACACAGCGAAACATGTCAGACATGTAAGTGCCGCCTGTCCATCTTTTCGGTACATGTACCGATCAAAAACAGAAAACGTAAAGCCCAAAACGCTCTTATACACGTAACCAACTTTGTATGAGCACAAATATTGTCATTTATTGTGAACAGGATAATATGATAATCAGACACACTTGAGACCTGTGAAGCGCATACTCACGTGTCGAGGAGTAGTTTCGCCATTGCCTTGTATGTGAGTCCTAACTCAGCTTTAAGTGTCCTCCACCGCCCCACCTCCCTCCCAACATACACAGTCTGAGTGCTTCTTCGTCTGTCTCTAATTTTCTTTCATATCTTTCGAACTGGAGTGGCTATTTTCTTTCGCCCTCTTTTGTCGCTCTCCTGTTCAGACTTGACGCGCGTTTGAGCCATGTTTGCTGTTTTGGCGCCAAATAGTAACATCCGGGTCTCAGCCGTAGTACTTCATTCATAGTAAACCGCGAGACTTAGCGAGAAATTGCGCGTTCTGAAGCCGTACTGTGAGGTGGTAGCTGAGTATTTAAGACGAGTCGTCTTTTATTATTTAATGGAACTTAAAAACGGTATTAGGTAGCTTCATTTTCTGAACGGTTTTGGATAGGATATACCTTGGTCATTATGGGGAAATTGGTGAGTTTTCCAGGAAAATTCATTTTCGTGCTATTTTAAGGGTTTAACGCGCTGAGACTGTCTTTAACATATGCTTATATTTCATTGTCTACCAGTATCATACATAGACACTTACAAAAATTTTAATACAGTGTGCAAAAATGCATTAATTACATTCAGCTTTGAAGTGAGATATAAAATGTTACCCTGATGATGGAGTCATTTCATTAAAAGTGTCAGCATTGTAGATGTGGTTGGTTCCATTAAATTCTTTACTCATCTGTTAAAAGAACAATAATATGATAAACCCTCAATAAACCTATTCCCTCAATGTGGAAGGAAAAAGTTTTATGTTACAGAGGTAAGCAAAACACATTTTGAAACACATAGCATATTGATCAAACTTATGATAATTTTAAGGACCAATGTTTCAGTTCAAGATGGAGCAATACTCTACAGAAATAAGTACAAAAATATTTAAACAAAAAATGAGTAAAATTGAAAACAGCAATTGAATTCCTCTAGTTCATAAAAATCCAAAACGTTTCCCTCTTGCTACGTAAAAAATTATTTACCTCTTCAATAAATGCTTGCCCAACTTTGACAAACATGGGATCATTAGGGTCAAGGAGATACGTGCTGTAATAAAAAATCTTCAAGCTTATTTATACCACATCTTTATAAACACATGCCTGCACAAAAAACATCAAATTCATTAGCTAGACACCATGAGAAATGTAGATTTTGTGACCAAGCACAGATTGAAGAAGATATTTAAAAAAGACATTCCAAAGGGGCACACATTACTGTGGCCAGCAATAACATCACAAAGCAAGCCCAACATAGAAACTCAAAAGAAAGAAGGATAAGCCATGCAACAACTGGTGCCATGACCTAGGCTGATACCAAAAGACTAGACTTACGTAAATTATAGAGAGCTTAAGGAAGACCTCAAGACTGGGGCAAATTGAGGGGACTTGTAGGTGGCCTATACCTCAGTGGGGTAATGCGCATAAGTAAGCACAGTAAGTATTCAAACCACTCTGTATTCAAACTAATGTCACATTATAACAGTTATATAGTTTGACAGGGCTTTTGATCTTCACATTACTAAAATGTATTTTTTACTTTGACATGTTACCACTCTATCTTATTTGAGACAAGTTTCAAAATGTGCCATTTATTGCCAAGTAGAAAAGTCTCACCAGCAGTATTTGGGATCTGCAAAACCTGCCCATCCACCCAGCCTCGTAAAGTTGACATTAGGATACACTCTGAAATTAAAATCATCCATATCAATAACTTACAGACATATATCTCATGATACTCTTTTTCACTGCAGGGTTTATCCCTAATGCTATATTCTAGTTGTTGACTTGTTAGGAATCAAAGTCTTGTCAAGGATCAATGGCACTGATATGTCCAAAAAACAATTAGATATTGATAAGTCTATTTGATATCAAAAGATAAATCTTTAAATAAATTATGAATCAAAATTTTAATACTTCTACTACACTCCAAGAATACCTTGTAAATCCTTCTGGGATGTGTCCTGCAAATCCTGGCAGTACAGGAAGCATACCCAATTCTCTCATTCGTCTCAGTATCTGATGTTGTAGCTTTAGCTGGTTGTCTAACCAGGTTTGTGGTATGGGTCCACCAAACCCACGCATATTCCCCATTCTGCCCCTAATTGTAGAATATTTCATTTGGATTAAAATCTGAATACTACAGGTAACTTTTCATTACCTGTTACTATGAGCAGAAAGGCCATCCTGTCCATCATACAAAAATAAAGCAATGTAAAATCAACAATGCATATTAGTTCTACTGGAAAAACTATTGCTATGTAATTTTAGCACACAATTTGCAAATCTTGTACACTTACCAAGCAAGAAAAGCAGGACCAGCAAAGTGCTCATCCAAATCATTTTGTGAGAGACCCAGTTTGAGATAAACCTTAAATGATAAAAAATTAATCATGTTTTTAACAAAGCAACTTGGAAAAAATCAAACAACAAAAAAATTTATTTTTTAATCATAACTTCCTGTTACCTTCTGCCATATTGCCTCCTGTCCAGTGAAAGCCAGGGGTAGGTTTATTCCATTCAGGGCCATCCAGTCAATCTCCCGCTCCCACCTTGTCCAGTTCCACCACACAAAGGAGTAGCTTGATGTACACACATTCTGATAGTAGCGGAACCTGAGAGCAAAAAATAAAATAAGTTTTAAAAATAGACAAAAAAAAAATAAATAAAAAATAAAAATAATAAATAAATAAATAAATAAATAAATAAATAAATAAATAAATAAATAAATAAATAAATAAACACCCCATGAAACAAACTTTGACTTAGCACTGATCAACTCTACAATGATCGGTTCTAAATATAAAAAGGAATTTATTACATAAGTACTTACTAACTGCACAATCTATATTTACTGTGTTTTAAAAGGTTATGTATACTATAGCAAAATTAGCACATCTTGCCTGTAGAACATTTAACAAGGCAGCAAAGCTGTCAAATGTACAGACAAAAAACAGGAAATAACTATGCACAAAATAGGCTACTGTCAATTCTGATGCAAAAGTACATTATGTTAAACTGCAAATTCAACATCAAATTTTAATTATGCTCAACAGGTAATACTAATGTAAGTAAAATGTGTAACAAGCATAAGGCTTCAGGCCCATGGCAGTTCAAGTTCACACTTTGAAAATGTATAACTTCCAGAAAAAGAAGCCAATTAGACTGCTTTTCCAACTCAGGCTGCATTTTAGTCCTGTATTTCTTTTTTGAACGTTTGGCAATCATCAGTAACATGGTTTTCCCATAATGGTCATCATGGCAGCAGCACCCAAAATTGTGTTTTCTTCTATTCTGATGCAATATTACAATGGTTAACAGCATAATGACCGTCAATTTTTAATAATAAAATATACGTATCTTGGATTTTCAGAAAATGTGACTAGCATGGGTCTTCAAGCCCATGGAACTTCAAAGTCACACCTTGAAAATGCCAATATGTGAAAAATTAAATTTT